TTAAAATTACCCCAATAAGCGTATCGTTATTTAGGAAGTATCAACATGTTTGAAGGCTTTCTTTCTAAGATTAGAAATTAAAGATTAGGTACATGCGACAGAATAACATTTCTTTCAATTAAACGTAGCTATGTAGACCAAGATGTCGTTGCCTCCTCTATTTGTTCACAGTCTCCTTTCGATATATAGAAATGATCTGAACTCGTCTTTGCAACTTGATCGTATTTTCAGGGCTACTTAGTTGGACCCACTTTATCCAAAGTCCTCTATTACATTAGTTATCATAATTACGAGCATCAAACCATGGACTTTTTACATTCCCAGTCGCTTCGCCGGCATCGTCAGTAAGTCTTGCTATTCTCAGACCATGCTACAACTCGTCAAAGAGGCAGGTTAAGTCAATCCCTTTACTAACTTTCAGCCGAAACAATTGTGGTATCACTCCTCTTGTCTCTTTAGTGAGTCGTACCTTGGTACTAAGAATCAAAAGACATCTGGTAATCTACCAAGTCTAGGGTTCGACGCAGAGAATTATGATAACGACTAGAACAGAGTACTTTGGACAAGGTGCATTCTACTTAGTCCCCCTGACAACATAACCAAGTAGTAAAAGCGAGGAAAGACCATTTCTAGCCAAATTGTTGTCAAAATAACCATTTAGGCCCTAGGCTTCTGCCATAAGGCAACTATAGAATATTTATTACCTTCATTTCCTAAGTTTTAACTCACCTTTTATAAAAACCATTGTTACAATTTAAAAATATAATAATCTAGCTTTATCATCAAGGCACAAAAATCATTTTCTCTAGTTAAACAAATTGGAAGAGAAGGAAAGAGCTGAGTGTCGAGGGCTAAGATAAAATACATACGTGGCTGATTGTAGCTATCATGATAGGTGAGAAGCCAGCCAGGTTGAGGTGATTAACAGGTGCGTAACCAGTGTCCAAAATAACACTAACGAGAGGCCATGCTCCATGACCGACGGCATAATGAAGAGAGGTGCTGCCCTGAAGAGGAGTCGGCATAAACAGTTGAAAAATGGAAAAAATAGTTGTTATGCTTAGCGTTCTGTGGCTAGGACAGAAAGATAAATTATATTAGCTAAAGAAGAGGCATGCTTATTGTTTAAACGATTTTTATGTACCAATATACTCCGACACACTTTAGAAAGTAAAACTATAGAGGGCTTCTATTAAAATTAGAAAATCTTTTGTAATATCGCTAAGTTTAATACAAATAACAATAGTTATGAAATAGTCTGGTGCGCATTTGGCAACTGCTTAAGACTAAATTTTAGGATCCCAATTGATTAATTTTATAATAAGGTTTCGAATCGGACATTATCCCACAAACCGATACTAATTTTTATTAATGTAGAATGTAAGATTATGGCGTTTTTATCCCTTTGTCAGGAAAAGGTGAGAAGAGCTTGATAATTTGGGTCTATCACCAGAAGAGAGATCGTTAGGAATGACCTGGATGGTCCTTCTTCTAGAGGACGATGGTCCTCGCCCTAGTAATGTCGGCTACAATCACTATTTATAGCATATTCCTTAGTCATGTGGCCAGAAGGAAAACTCAAGAAGGGCTGGCCGTAGCAATATAATAATAACATGAGACATATTATATGATACAGTTGATAAATATTTAATATATCACTAAGTACGGGACAAAATAATGGTGATGAGGAACGAAGTAAGTATGCGTATATTTTTATTAATGAGCTTGCCTCGAGATATACTATCACGTGCGTATAGACATGTGATTCACACAGTATTATATGAATACCGTAGTTGAAGCGATTATGTTCAATTAATTTCAATTCCTAGATATACCGGATAGCAAGGAAAAACTGCACATGAAAAGTTACTCAGGTGGGAAATCGAAAAAAACTTATTTATTTTCGCTATCATGAAGTCTTTGTTTGACAAAATAAAGCCAATTTGATGATGAAATAAAAAAAGTAAGAACGCTTAAGTCAGAATAAAACAAGTATTACTATTTTAATAATAGTAAACAATAAAACGGAAATAAATAAATGAAGTTAAATACGCGTCCTTTTTATGATCCTCACCCCCATTGTTAATCAGATTGCACACAAACTATTCTAAAAGCAGGTTAACCAAATCTTGTAATAGCAAAATAAAGCAAAAATAATAGTATAATATTATCGTGGTATTAAAGTGAGCCAACGGTTATTCCATGATCTGCTTAGGATAGTCTCTTATATAGACTAGTCATTGGAAAACAGATGAAATCTCAACTGCGCCAAATATAAAAATCCATGCAGGTAGATTGAAGCCCTGCAAAAAAAACGCTGATGCTCTATATTCCTTAAAGCTAAACAAATTAGAGATAAAAACAGTATCAGTAATGAACCCAAATCACAGTTCTAAATAAAATTAATTCCATTATCCAGAGGATAATCCAAAATAAGCAAATAAGCAGTAGCCTATTTTAAAATTAAATGAAAATAGACTATTTAAGTTATTCTTCGTCTGCTGATAGTAAATATTAGGCTTTAATCTGTCCAAGATGAATGTGGCTTTATCAAGATGAAATGTCGATAAACATCATATTTTTAAAAAAGATTATATAAAGTATTCGCAATTAATTTATGTAAAGGTTGACTTACATTTTGGTCTGTCAACTGGATCACAGCAGCCAAGAATTCAGGAGAGAATGTATGAAAAGTAGCTATCATGTCCTCAACCAGTTCAAAGTCAACCATACGTTGGGTAGTTGCCTCAAACCAGCATCGACTGATTGTGGCCATATGTGTCTTCTGAATGAAAGAAGGAAAATGTATCTGAACTAGCCGTTACGACCCTCATTGCTACCAATAGAGAGGGCAGAATAGAATATAAAAATTTAATTCACGACCTAATGATAGTTTCGAAGGTTAGAGCCCGAATCAGGCTCCAGGTTAAGCAAGCCTCCTCTTTCTCGGTGATTAGGCTTTAGACCACTATATTTAGTCCACTCTATTTTTAGCTACATTCGATTTCTCGACCTTTTAATCTATATGGGCGGTATTTTGGACAGTATCCCGTTCGACACGTCTCTCTCACAAAGAAATTTACACATTAGCACAAAAGCTTATAGCAAACTGATCTAAAGAGATGTACCAAACTCCTAGAACAAAAGGCAAGACAAAGGATAGTGGTGATCCCATTTATTTACTAGTAAACCCAGCAGCTTCATAATTTGACGAGACGGTAGCATTGAGAACCTAGAAGAATTATTCAAATCCGTATTTTGCCGTAAATAGGATTAGGAAAACTCTTATGAATTGTAGTGGTACCTTAATCCGAGAAACATAAATAAAAACGGTTAGAAAAAATTAAATTAAAAGGGTTTGCATGCTTCATCGGGGTAAAGAGGCTATATTGAGTAGACTGGAAATTTATTGAAAGATAAGTATTTTGCTCTGATTATGACGCCCCAAATTAACTTGACTTATAACTTGAGCAAATAAGTCATTTCAATCAATTTTTAAGGTATATACGACATTGATTAATTATTTGTCCAGGACAGTTTAGAATAATTTGGAGTTTTCATGACGAACCTACAAAATGTCCATCTCATCAGGGCATCATCAGCAACGCAGAATGGGCAGATTTGCAGAAGGCAACTCTATTTAAATCAAGACGCAGTTGGCTTACGAGCATGCATAAAGCCCAAATTAGTGACAGAATCATAGAATTTATGTTTTTTATATGAGATGTATGCTTTCTATTTTGTTTAAGGTGATGAACGGCTGGAATTTAAATTTTTCCACAATCATATGAGTATGCCTTACGTGTCCGTTCAACTTTGCATAGCCTTGCTTCTCAAAAGATATTCTCATCCAGGCAGGGGTGTACTGTGGATTCGACCTAGCCTAGGTT